AGGATCGAACTTCCGATACCGTGGTAGCAACGTTTTGGACCATATACATTCCATCTTTCATTCGGTATATAATATTCACCTATATAATAACAATGAAAAAAAATGTAGCCTTAGTCCACTTCAAAATATTCCTTTGTGGGAATTCATGCATTTACCATATTACCGCTGCCACTTTTCAATACAATCTGTAAGGTCTGTCATATTTCGGGATCGCCATCAGCTGCATTGTCATATCCTTAATTCTTAGTCCTCTTTCCCACGGTCTGAAATCGGCCCCCTGTTCAAAAGCGATTTTGGCTTTGGGAAAGTCCAGAAATCTCCAGGAGAACATTCTCATTCTATCACTACTGAAGTATTTGGCTTCTTCAGGCATCCCTGATCGTAGTGAGAATAGACGAACATGTAGTGTTGCTGTCATATTTGGGTTGGAGTTACTCAATCTTGGCTTTCCGGTTTTGATAGAGTCTTAAATAGTCTTGTAAAATTTATCCACTCTTCAGCCATTTTCCCATAGATGAAACATCGCAATCCTATCGCTACTCTATCACTATTTCCATGGCAAAGGTTCAGATGATCTTATTTCTTTAGTTTCACCTGTTCAAAACTTTAAAACTAAGACCCATCAAATAACTTCCACGGATCCGAATCACCTTAATTTCTTCTGTATTCCAAGGTAGGAAGAAAATTCCAGACTGCTTTTTCTCAAGAACTGTCAATTTGCGGAAAAGTGTCTGAGTGTGTAGCGATAGCAACAAAAATATCAGTAAATAACGTCAAACCCTTAGTACTAGACTATGCATGAGTACGAAGCAAAAATAATTAATAAATATTAATAAAAAAAGAAAAATTAAAAGTCAAGTAATAAAAAATACTTTAAAATATAAATATACATTTTAACTATAAATAGTTAACAATAGCGAAAGAAAAAAGATTATGAAAAAAATAGTTAAATAAATATAGAATACTCTCACGATGCATTGGAACAGGCGTCAATTGAAACAAAAATGTTCAGATGATCTTCATTCTTTAGTTTCACCTTTTCAAACCTTTAAAACTAAGACCCATCAAATAACTTCCACGGATCCGAATCACCTTAATTTCTTCTGTATTCCAAGGTAGGAAGAAAATTCCAGACTGCTTTTTTTCTCAAGAACTGTCAATTTGCGGAAAAGTGTCTGAGTGTGTAGCGATAGCAACAAAATATCAGTAAATAACGTCAAACCCTTAGTACTAGACTATGCATGAGTACGAAGCAAAAATAATTAATAAATATTAATAAAAAAAGAAAAATTAAAAGTCAAGTAATAAAAAATACTTTAAAATATAAATATACATTTTAACTATAAATAGTTAACAATAGCGAAAGAAAAAAGATTATGAAAAAAATAGTTAAATAAATATAGAATACTCTCACGATGCACCGGAACAGGCGCTTTGCCGTCAATTGAAACAAAAATGTTCAGATGATCTTCATTCTTTAGTTTCACCTTTTCAAACCTTTAAAACTAAGACCCATCAAATAACTTCCACGGATCCGAATCACCTTAATTTCTTCTGTATTCCAAGGTAGGAAGAAAATTCCAGACTGCTTTTTCTCAAGAACTGTCAATTTGCGGAAAAGTGTCTGAGTGTGTAGCGATAACAACAAAAATATCAGTAAATAACGTCAAACCCTTAGTACTAGACTATTCATGAGTACGAAGCAAAAATAATTAATAAATATTAATAATAAAAGAAAAATTAAAAGTCAAGTAATAAAAAATACTTTAAAATATAAATATACATTTTAACTATAAATAGTTAACAATAGCGAAAGAAAAAAGATTATGAAAAAATAGTTAAATAAATATAGAATACTCTCACGATGCACCGGAACAGGCGCTTTGCCGTCAATTGAAACAAAAATCAAATTTTTCCTTTCTTCATCTTCGACATCCAAAGGAGTCAGATGTCCGAATCAGTTCTCCGATAGAACATGTTGCTACCAACAGATATGCACAAAGCTTTTAGCTCTGTATACGTATATGTACTTTAAAATATAACATAATTTCTACGAAATATATACTAAAGCATTTTATCGTTTTTGTCTACGCTTACTGTGTTGTGTTTTGTATATGAATTGTTTGTAATTTATATTTCCGTTATAGGTTAATGATGTCTTTTTAACCTTCAATCAAAATTTCATATATAAAAAGAAGTACCTTCTGACAAGGCCAAAGCCTCACCAGAACAACTCACAAGAAATGCTTCCATGAACATTACAATTTTGACCTCTCCATGTCAAGGGTCAATCGTTATTTGCCCTCCTTATCCTCATAATGCCCAGTTTCTACCGCTTCTTATTTAACTCAATTCATCATAACCATCTTAATAGTTACTCTTTACTTTGAATGGATTTCGAGTCCAGTATTCTGAGGGAACTGGAGATCCTACGAGGATTCATCAGTGGCGGCCACAACCTTACCAACATGATACGCAGATGACACGGTACTGATAGTAGACACGGAAAAGAAACTACAAAACCTCCTACAGAAGGTAGCGAGGGAGAGAGAGAAGAAAAGACTAACTATTAAGTACAAGAAGACAATGCATGGTCATCAGTAAAAAGATGAGCTCAGAATGCGATTTGCAGATCGGAGACACTAAAAGCAAACATGTAGGGAAGTTCAAGTATCTGGGAAGTGTTCTGACGGAGGACGGTATGTACGACGCTGAGATCTGAAGACGGATTGGGATGGCCAAGGATGCATCCCAGAAGCTGGACAGAGTACTCCAAGACAGGAGGATTTCTATGGTGACAAAAGAGTACTGAGCTGCTACGTGACATCTGTCCTGCAATACGGCAGCGAATATTGGGCGGTATCTTCAAGGATGAAGAAGAGACTCGAGGTAGCGGAGATCTGGTTCTACAGAGGGATGCTGGGGATATCATGGACCGAGCATGGAAGCGACGATGAGGACTTGGAGAGGATGCAAACAAGGAGGAAGCTTATGCTTAACATAAGGAAGTGGCAGATGAAATTTCTGGGACACGTGATGAGAAAGGAGGGTCTGGAGAATCTGGTACTCACGGGACGAATATAGAGAAAAAGAGACTGGGGAAATCAGCGCATGACATACGTGGCGGGCTCGGGGATGTGGATTGCGGAGCGTGGTTTGGGGGAGTTGGTAGAAACACAAAACCTGCTGAGCGCCACAAGGCATAGGAAGAAGTGGAGGGCCATTATCACCTACGTCCTGAAACGACAAGGCACATAAAAAAAGAAAGAATTGGGTAAATTCTAGTATTAAGAAATAGCCAAACCAGGAGCTTACAGGCCTTGGCGGTGTGATGTTTTGCAAGAAAAACTTGCTTTCGAACGCGTCGATTATGCAGTAGAGACGCTGACTCATTGCCGTCTCACAGGCGTGTGCGCAGTAAGGTTCCCTCTACGGTTCTCGTAGTTTTCTCTCATTTCCCAAGCTTCCTCGGGCACAAGGCCTCAAGTGTAGGGATCAAGTGAAGATTGAATTCGCTACAGCAGTAATAGTCCGCGGGGATATTATTCAATTCCTCCGACAGGACAACCAATCATGACGAGAGAATCGAATTCTGGACTTGAAAAGTCAATTCCTACAGAACACAGATGATCCTCTCGTAAATTCAATAATAATAATAAAAAAAAATCTACCGATATTCACGATTCGATTTCCTGACCCGAGCCACCTTCCCCGAAGCCCAGCCCTCATTCAGACGAAACTTCGCCCGTTGCCACCTGCGATATAAGGCCTTGAAGAAAATCAGTTCAGTCAATGTCCAACCGAGGACTCACGCCTCGCAATGATTTATATGATATGACATTTGTTGGCTGAAATTGGTTTGAATAAACTCACTCTTCTGGATCCGGGGAAAATGGCAAAGGCGAGTCGGAGTAGAAAACGCTGACCGAGACTGACTTCGAGTTTTCATATTCTATTTGATCGTGAAAATATCGATCTGTGTCAACACGAATTATCGATTTCGAAGTGGTTCATATTCACAGAAGACTTTTGGAATTATATCCCTAGGATAATATAATTGGAATATCTATCTATCTATCTATCTATCTATCTATCTATCTATATATATATCTCAGTTTCTATCTATCTATCTATCTATCTATCTATCTATCTATCTATCTATCTATCTATCTATCTCAGTTTATATTTATCTATATATATCTCTCTCTCAGTTTCTATCTATCTATCTATCTATCTATCTATCTATCTATCTATCTCAGTTTCTATCTATCTATCTATCTATCTATCTATCTATCTATCTATCTATCTATCTCACTCAGTTTATATCTATCTATATATATATATATCTCAGTTTCTATCTATCTATCTATCTATCTATCTATCTATCTATCTATCTATCTATCTATCTAAGCCTCTTAATATCTATCTATCTATCTATCTATCTATCACGAAATCATTATCTCTCTTACCTATATAGTTTTCTTTGTCTGCCTCTTCCCCCCTTCTCTCTCTCTCTCTATATATATATATATATATTGTAAGAGAGAGTGAAATTCGGACTGAGCTTTAGATACATTGCGATAGATATTCTTAATTTCTCTTAATCTCTCTCTTCCTTTCTTTATCACTCTCTTCCCCTTTCTCTCTACATCTATATGATAAAAATATAGTTTAATGTATGCTATATTTATAGTTAAAAGTGCTCAATATTAGAGATAGAGTGTATGTAAATATAAAAGTCAACACTTATGGCAACACCTAGCAGCGACAGTTTGTTTAATGGCCTGAAGATTGCCTACAAGCATCAAATACCCAGTCATCGCTTGGTGTTGACCTCAGTGACCACCTTCTCTCTCTTTCCCTCTCTCTCTCTCTCTCCTATATATATATATATATATATATATATGCAGTAGAAGAGAGGGAAATCGCTATCCCTATAACATTACGCAGGTATAACTATCAATTTATCTCAAGAGTAATGTGTCTCTTAATCTCTCTCTATGCTTATCTCTTTCTATCTATATGTAGGTCTTCAAGGATAGTGAAATTTGGATTAATTTTTAGATCTGAGACATGAAAATTTACCTACATGTTTCTATATGATTATCCATCTATCTCAGTCTATACATATCTCTCTCGGTCTACAGTGGCCTAAGAAAAGTTTTTAGCGAGGAGAAATAAACTACATCCAATTTCAAAATTTAATTACGTAATCTCTATTCAACATAAAATAAACAGTATTTAGAACTAGTATGAAGTAGGCCCTCCATTTGCTAGTTTCACTCCTTGTATTCGATTTTTCATGGATTTTATCAAGTTATCAACAATCGTCTGATCCATATTTTGCCATTTAGCAATGTTTCTTTAAGGGTTGCCACTGATGTGATTTTAGTTGCACGCTCTCGGAGTTTTCGATAAAGGTGCACCCAAACTTGCTCTATTGGATTCATGTCAAGAATGGCAGTGACATGATTCCATGCGATTCCTTCTAGGCCTTTGCTACTTTACTCGTATGACATGGCGCGCTATCTTCTTGAAAAAGGTAGACATTCTTGTCAATCTGATTGGTTTCAAATAGTGAGAGTAGTCTTTTCTCTAATATCTGGCAGTATTTTGTACCATTAAACCACTCATCAACAAGAATCAGCTCAGATTTCCTACCAAACCAGACAGCGCCTCACACCATTGCTCCAATCTCTCCATGTTTCACGGTCGCCTGCAAACATTCAGTGTTTCAAGTCTCATTCTGATTTCTCCAAACATAAACCTGTCTTGAATTCGAATATTGGCAGAATTTACTTTCATCTGTCAAATTACAGACTGCCAAAATTCATAATCTTTGCTCTCGAATTCTCTTGCCCAGTCCATACGCCTGTTCCTGTTAAACTCTGAAATCAATGGCTTCTTTCTTGCAACTCTTCTTTGATAGCCTAGCACTTTCAGAGTTTTTCTCTCTGCATATGGCGACATTTCCATGCTGCTGGCGACATCTATGACACTCTGAGGATGGTTTCTGATGACTTCCATCTTCAGTGTCCTTTTGGTTTGCACAGACACGATGCTTGGTCTTCCTGAATGTTGTTCCACACGACAATGGCCTTCTTCGTTAAATTTCTTGACAATATTATTAACCGTTTGATGATTAACCTAAAAAAAACTAGAAATTTCGCCTTCCTATTATTTGCCCTCGTTGAAATTCACCAATTCCCTTACTTCCACAAACTGGCTAAAAACTTATCATAGTCCACTGTATATCTATCTATCTATCTATCTATCTATCTATCTATCTATCTATCTATCTCACTCTATTCCTATCTATCTATATGTATGCATCTATCTCTATCTATCCATCTATCTATCTATCTATCTATCTATCTATCTATCTATCTATCTCACTCTATTCCTATCTATCTATCTATATGCATTTATCTCACTATATTCATATCTATCTATCTATCGCAATCTATACATATCTATCTATCTATCTATCTATCTATCTATCTATCTATCTATCTATCTCACTCTATTCCTATCTATCTATCTATCTATCTATCTATCTATCTATCTCACTCTATTCTTATCTATCTATCTATCTATCTATCTATCTATCTATCTATCTATCTATCTATCTATCTATCTATTACATCTCTTGGTGGTTATTATGCCAATTTGCTTATATTCCCAGCAATGTCATACGATTTTTGCAGTCCGAATAAAATTGTTGTTACCATATTATTTTCCTATTTATTGGACGTTGCGAATATGTTGTATCTGTCCGTGACTAACATTTTGTGGTTCAAGTCAAAATTTACATGATGCATTCAGACTAGAATCCATGGTCTTCTGTTGCACTGTCAAATGTTTTTATCCGTGTCAATGTTTTCACAATTCATTGCTATTAACCAACCGATGTTAGTAAAATTTCCTGGATAGATTTATATCATAAATACACCATGTGAATGTTATCTGATATCTGCTTTTATTATAAAGTAGCCGAATTACTCGCGTCTTGCTGAGTGTCACACATATTTTTTATAATAAAATGACGATTGATTTTAAATGATTGTTATAATTTGTGGAGAAAAATGATGCATTTCAATATTACTCAATGATCTTGCTGATGTGACATCCATCTTATGGCTTTCTCCTTTTATATTTTGGATAGGAGTCATTCCCTTGTTCAAATTTAAATTTAATTTAAATCAATGGGAAAAATTCAGAGTAGGGGTTGTACCTCCCGGGGACTCCCTTTGATCAAAATGAAATATACTTCTCCAAGTGCCCTGGATAATGTAGTTTCAGAATATATATGGTTATGGAGGTCTATCTCCAAAACACTAGAAGGAGATCGAAAACAAACAGACAGACAGAGGCTACAACTTTATATATAGAGATTTACAATGACTGTGAGATTTTATTGGGCGATTCGTCATATTGTAAATAAGCACACTAGCTGGGTAACCGTGCTTCGCTGGTGTCAAGAAGATTAAAGTTTCAAATTTAAAGTGTTTGTCCATTTACAATGCTGCATTTATTAGAAAATATTTTCGGTTTAAATACAGAAGGAGTCATCAAAATAAATTCAAAGAAGTTGTTCTCAGACAAAAAGAGAAAGTTACTGTCACGACCACAATATTCAGGCAATCTTAGACCTTCTTGATCGCTATAAAAAGGAGTGTCCAAAGGAAAGTTTTTCCCTTGACACCGCTATTATTTCGGCAATGCTTATTGTTTTGAAAGCGATGATTAGAATTTTAATAAAACCTAAACATATGAAAGTGAATTTATACATTTTCTTTTTTGTTGAGAATTGACAACAAAAATAATAAACACTATTAATTTATTAGATTATTTATCTACACTATTATATTATTTATTGGAATAGTTGTCACACAGAAAAGGAAATTAGCCTCCGCGACTCAAACTTACATTAAAATTGTGCATTCATATACGTTTGCGTTTGCGCACAACTGTTTTAATTCAATGAAAGAGCTGGAAATATTTCTACAAAAAAATGATTTTACAAAAAATAATTAATTTCATATTTTAGCGAATAATTTTCGAATAAGTTTTATAAAATCTTAAAATCTGATATTTTTTTTAAAGTTAAAAAATGAACAGATTTTTTGTCAAAAGTCAAACTATTTTTTCTACTGAGTTCATTTATTTTTATTTTTATTTTTTTATCTGAATTCACTTTTTGTGAACATTATTGTTTTTGTAAAATTTAACTGAAATTTACCTTATCGTAAGTGTTGCCGTACAGTAATGCGTTTCCTAAATTATTTAGGGCGTTAGTAACGTCGGTGTTTGAGTTGAGAAATAAAGACGTGTGTCTCCTGAAATGCCCACAACAAACATGACAGACTCGGGATATGAGTCCACGTAAAAATATGTAAGAATCGACAAGAACCAATATATATGTTGTACAACAAATGATAATGTATTAACAATAAAAGATTACAAGTAACAAAGATGTGTGTGCGTGTGTGCGTGTGCGTGTGTGTGTGTGTGCGTGTGTGTGTGTGTGTGTGTCAAATGAATGTGAAAACTGTTGGTCCAATAATGTGTAGTGAGTGAATGTGCGTACGTGCATGTGTGTATGTATGTACTGATCACGCGTTTCCCAAAGGAAAGCGTTCTTCCTCGAGAGGTTACATGTATGTTGACAAATAAGGACTAAGGTGAGAGAAGAGAGCGAGAAAAATATCGCAGAATATTTATAATCCTGAAAGCGTCTCCTAGTAGCGGTTTGGAAAATTAGGAGGAGATAACCCGACATAATGAATTGGGCATCGTGGTCATTTCTATGCTGCCAGGTTCAAGGCACCGGTAAATAGCTTGGTAGTGATATATGATAGATAAGAATAGACTGGAATTAGATAGACATGAATGGACTTTTAGCTAGAAACAAAGTGAAATGACAATCGATAAGATACTAAAGATCTCTCAGCTTTTTTACTTATTTTTTTTATTGAACTACCATTTACAAATGTAAGAAAAGAAATAGTTTGACAGACATGAAGCTGTTGACAAGTTTTTCTTCATTTTCTTTCTTGTCTCGAACTTTTGTGATCTCATTTTTCGACCCAGACTCGGGATTATACTTACCTGATGTAGAAGTTCCCTTCTGCTGGGGAAGCTGAAATTAATATTAAGCTCAAGCTCTTCATCTTCTCCAGGCAGTACCTTTCCTTCTGGAGTGGGGCTCAGTTTACTGCCCGGTGACTGAGGTGTCTCCAAGAGGGCAAGTGCCGAGGGAGCTTGAGCAATTTTTCTTCGGGTTTGCCGTTAAAACTTACTTTAAACAGACCTTGTGTCAGATTCGGTTGCAAAAGTGGGCGCGCTGAAAATTAACCCTCAACAGACTAACGGTGGTCCCGACTAAGTTAGTCGATTTCGAAGTGGTTCATATTCACAGAAGACTTTTGGAATTATATCCCTAGGATAATATAATTGGAATATCTATCTATCTATCTATCTATCTATCTATCTATCTATCTATCTAAGTTTATATCTATCTCTCTCTATATATATCTCAGTTTCTATCTATCTATCTATCTATCTATCTATCTATCTATCTATCTATCTATCTATACATATCTATCTATCTATCGCAATCTATACATATCTATCTATCTATCGCAATCTATACATATCTATCTATCTATCTATCTATCTATCTATCTATCTATACATAGTGGGAGGAAAGTGGATTATTCCAATGTCTTATTTGTAACTCAGTCAAAATGTGTGCGTACGTGTGCATGTGCTTATATATATATATATATATATATATTAAAGAAAAACAGACCACTTTAAGGTTTCATTATAATAATTTATTTCACCAGAGCCCTTTTAAAGAACGCCGGATCATCAGATAGCAGTTCCAAAACATGAAACGAAAAATGTTTTTTCGTTTCATCTTTGCAAATGCTATCTGATGATCCGGCGTCCTTTAAAAGGGCTCTGGTGAAATAAATTATTATAATGGAACCTTAAAGTGGTCTGTTTTCTTTACTATATTAGGTCTGGATTTACATTGAGCTATCAGGATTTCATCCTCCTTGGGATTACCCATACGGATTACCAAGTTTTCATAACTCAAATATATATATATATATATATATATATATATATATATATATATATATATATATATATATATATATATATATATATATGCATTAAATGACACAAGCGCATGTAAGTCAGTCAAGCACAAACGCACATACATACATGCGTAGATATATATGTATGTATTTATTTATATAGAGATTAAATCAAATTTCCAGTGAGAAGTGACCGGCCGTCTGGTGAAAACGTATGAAACTGGCAATCATGGTCGATCACTGCTCACTGGAAATTTGATTGAAAATATAATAAATGTCTGCTATTTCATATCGCATCGAGCACTTTTTTCTGTGAGCATCTATAGAAGACTTTTAGAAACTGCTTTTCTATTTTTATATATTATTGTGGGGACCTACCTACAAATGGACTCTTCCACACCTATATAATATGGCTACCAACTCTGAGTAAAGGGAGGGTCACCAAGTGAGGGTCACCGAGTAGTAACCATAGAGTGAGTGAGTGAGTGAGTGAGTGAGTGAGGACACCAGTGAGAGAAAGTACTCTCAGTCCACATTTACCTTTGTACTACGTTTCGAGAATATATTATTTAACCTTATATCCGAGTCCGTGTTATCTTTCTATGGTTCTACACCATATATATATATATATATATATATATATATATATATATATATATATATATATATATATATATATATATATATATATATCCAGGTACAATGAGAACGAATAGAGCAGAATTTCAACGTTCGTAACATTTGATTTAAAAAGGGCTCAATATAAAGTAGAGCAATATTATTTATTTTGGGATATTCCACAGAAAACATGTAAAAATCGCTACACAATTGCAGTTCTGTTTCAATGCATCAAATCAGGCAATTTTAAATTAATGCCGAGTGAATGATTTATTTAGATTTAAAAGCAAAATACAGCCTCTTTTTTGAAAAAAAGAGTAAGGATTGAGGGATTTTTCTGATCAACCAATCAAATGTGATCTAAATTAAATTTAAGCTTCTGCTAAAGCAGTTTCTTTTCTAGCACTTCTCGCCTGTGGAATCCCTTCCGATTTCTTGCTTCCCCGATAACTACAATCTTCAAAACTTTAAATGCAACGTCAGTCAACATCTTCTGTCTTCTTGAACCCTCTTCCTTCTTTGTCTTTTCCGCAATCGTCCCCTTGCTCAGTCTTTTCATTCTCTTTCACTCTCTGTAACACCCTGCGTCCTAATGGCATTATCGTCTTGATTGAGGCGAAACGATTATATAGAAAGAAAGAAAGAGACGTACAATGTTTTCTGTATTAATTTCTGAGATAAATTATCATTATTTACAGTCGGAATATAGAATAATATCTTCATCTTTGATTATCACAACGTTTCGGTTGTTTTGCCCTCAGGTGTTTGTGATCTGAGTAACCATCAGTGATTATCGAACTTAACCCTTTATTTAATCTACGGGAATGCTCGTTCTGTTTGTCTTTTCAGCATCCCCTCAGTTCCCGTTCTGCCATTCATTTGCGCATGCTCGTTACGAAGGTTACTCACCGTTTCCCATTGTCCCTATTGACTTTCGTATGTCAACTGAGTGTCAAAATTTTGACCTTGCAGTTTCAATTGTCTTTTACTGATTTTAAGTATAATCGTTTTTTTTTGTTTCCATTTGTCCTGAAACTTTCTCGTTAGTCACTTATTCAGGACATAGTATTTTTTGTATCCTTCTAA